CCAGGACATTTACAAGTCAATCTCTCTGTATACAATTTAAAATAAATTGCCCTTTAAATATCTGGCAGCTGATGTGACCCTATCGTTGTGCTGGAAAAAGGTTTACAGTGTAGTCGCTAGCACCCGTTTCCAGAAAGAACAAGGACTAGTTGTTCTTGTGTGTCGTTAGTCGCTGGTCATGTTAACAAAAATGCCACCTGTCCTTCAGAAGATGACACCACGAATACCAATAAGAACTAATTACATGAGTAAGGGGAGACTTCAGGGCGTTAACAGCGACTCGGATGCATTTCCCCTCTTTTACATATTTGTGTTTCTTTGTTTCCTACGCTGATCTCTGATACCCTTTCCCTCCCTGCCAAGTCATTTGTGTTTGGCCTCTATTCCCAGGGCACTGCCTACGGAAGGCTCCTCTGAGGTACCTCTGCCACCCACCTGCTGCCAACAAAGCAAGAGGCAGAAACCAGGAATGAATAGCCCTGCAAAGCCTTTGCTAATCCTGTGGTCTCCACAGTACGATGAAGCCTCTTGCCCAACCACCGTGCAAGTCACAGATGTCTGCAGGCCAGCTGCTGTGGCTAACGTCAACCCAAATTACTCAGAACTCCAGGCAAGATCTCTAAAGGTTCAGGACCCTCTACTGGAGCCAGATTTTTGAAAGGACCTGCATTCAGCAGACCGACAAACTAGGAAACATGACCACATCTGTTGGATCTGTATAGTGGTACATTTACAAATGAGGACAAGGCTGAGCAACAGGTAGGGAGAAATAAAGGAGCAAATCCTGCTGCCTCCAGCCAAACTCCCTCTATTTCCACTGCTGCTGGGCTTTAAACACAGCGACAGGGATGACATCCAGAAGATAACTGAGCTTGCTGAGTCCGAGTTACCTGGGACAAACAAGACGGCTGATGGGCTGGGGGAAAGCCAGCAAGAAAGCGAACAGAAAACAGTCTCCTGGAGGTGTTGTGTGTCAGATCTTCCTCCCATCACTACAAAGGAGATGCACACGCAGCCAACCCTCCCTTCCAAGGAACCAGAAACAAGTCTCTTGAAATAGGGACTTGAAACTGAAATGGAGCTTTCAAGCTCACCCTGTATTTGGTGGGTCTGTCTTTGAGGCACTCACCCAAAAAACCTCATCCCTGCATTCAGTGTCTCAGCTGCCTGGGTCGTGCCTTTACTCTCTCCAAGGGGATTGCTCGGTGTCTTGTCACCAGCGCAGGCTGCTTCCTCCAGGTGTCTATCCAGCTTACTCCAGCCCCACAGCAAGCAGTGATATGGACCTCTGGGCTCCAAAAAGAACACAGAAAAACATTGCTGTGACAACAGGCATGGCAGAGAAGACAAAAATACCTCCTTATCAGTCATGCTGGGAAAGTTGGTTACTTCAAATCCCTGTGGCCATCTGGCTTTTAAACCTGCAAAATCTCAGTCATTTCACAACATTGACAGCATCCCACAGCCAGGACTAAGGTTCTGCTCTGAAGTGAGATCCGTGAGTTAGCACCAAAGAGGTTCTTCCGCTTGGCAGCACTGGAGTAGGAGGAAAGAATTAGAAGTCCCATGTGCATCTAATACCCAGGATTATTCTCATGGAATATTTCCTTGGATCAGTCCCGCTGATGCAGGCCATGGTCCCATAACAGACTCCAGCTGAGTGTGCGGGGAATGCAGTCACAGCAGGGTCACGATTTTACATGTTACAGCAGTGGGGTGAGAAAATGCTTTTACATCAGTAATTCCCATACCTGGGTGCACGGGGCAGTGTGGGGCATTTCAAAGGCTGGCAGTCTCCACAGCCGATCCTACAAACCCTAAAACAAGCAGTCTCCATCAATTTACTCCTTCCTAAACAGTTTAAACTCTCTATGCCAGACAGGCATTCCCTGCTGATTTACACATATACCTGGCTCACCTTAGTCTTCTCGTTTTTATTTCTGTCGAAGAAGCAAACTGGCAGGACAGGAACCACCCCTCCGACACCGGCCACGGCTCCACGCGGCTTTGGTCACAGCAGGTTCCTGCCACCGAGGTGGACGGGGCCCCATCACTACACAGAGCCACGGTTACAAGGAGTTAAACCAAAGGTTTGGGTCTCTTCCCCCCCCCCTTCCACCAGCAGAAGCTTTTTACCTGAAAAGGGATTAGATCCTGACTTTATCCGGCACCACAAAGAGCTCAGGTAAATTAACCAAACACCGGAGCGAGCAGAGAAGCAGAGAAGCAGAGCTTCCCAGGGAGCCGGGCCAAGGCCGAGGCCGTTCGCACACCTGAAGTTCAGGCCGCGGCCGCAGACAACGGGGCAAACCCGAGACGCTTCCAGAGACAGATCTCTGAAACGTTCCTTTGGGCAGACACAAGACTCCGCGGCCTTGGGAAGGGGCAGCATTCTCCCTGGCACAGCGATGGAGCAGAACGGGGTCGTTGGTTCCTGACACCAGAGAATACCTGCAGACCCACGGCCTTCGAGCCTAGGGGATCATGAGTATCATCTATAACCATCCACCAGCCAAAGAACACAACCGGGGGCACCACTGCGGACCGGGTTTTCCCCTCTGACGGCCACAGCAACACCCGCGGTGCGACGGGCCCAAGGCTGAGGGGAGCGCCCGCTGCTCGGGGGGAGAACGGGGC